TATCTGATACCAATATATTTATGAACTTTGAAGTTGTGTTAAATTGGGTCACCTTATTTTAAATCGAACGAATGAAGTAAATCCGTAGATTGAGCGACATTCTTCTTCATAACATTCACGTAGTTTCAAGTTTATTTGAATTTATTGAACAAATATATAATTAAGTAGGTATATTAACAATAAATTATAAAACACTTTGATCAGACAATCTTTAAACGATAACTATTAATTAAACACTAAAAAAAGTGCTTTTCTTTCTTAAAACATTAAGAAGTTTAAACAAACTATGAATAAGAACATTTAAGTTGCTTAGAACGATCATCTTCAGGTCAAAAGCTTGAAACGTTTTTCTTAAAGTTCCCATAGTACATATAAATTATGGGGATTAGTACATAGTACAAATCCCCATAGTACATATAACTTTCTTTCCTTATTATTTACCTGGAAAATGGTATTGAAAACTGACTGGAATACAAAATAATGATCATCCAATACAGGCACAAATCAATTTAAAACTTTGTTTTGTAGAAACCGAAAGAAAATTATAAACTTGGGTTCTATTGAGTAATTTTTTTAAATCACGCAGTTACAATGTCTTTTGATGCATTTACTTAATAAAAACAACATTATTACTAGCATTAAACCGAAATTGACCACCATTTTAAATAATATTATTCTTAAAACTCTTTAATTTTTATATGTAGGTAGTTAATATATTTTAGACATAATTCGAGCGGTTGCAGTTTAATTGTACCATCTTTTTACGAGAGATGAATAAGATTCTATAAAATAGGCTTCATTAAAAAACCATAGATTATTCCATAAAGTTGCTAAGTTCCTCAAGGTTTAAAAACTGGGGGCATTCGAAGTGTGAATGTACAGACGCATTCTTCGTATATCCTGGACCGAATATATTACTTGCAAAGAAGTAATCCGCAGAATTAGAAGAAAACTTGAATATCTCGGTACTAAAATGAGACACAATAAGTACCGCCTGATTCAACTGACTATCCAAGAAAAAATATAAGTTCAATCAATATTGGTAATTAACTCAAAAACAGTTGAAAATCATTATAGAACATTTATGTCGAATAGGCCTTGAATTGGGCGAATAGTTCGTATATGCAATAAAAAGTACGGCATTCCATAAAAAAAAGGCATGTTTGGTCTGTCACTTGAATTTGAGACACCCTGTATAAATTGGTACTATCTTAAAATAATCTATACGTTAATATATATAACTTTTGTATTTAACATTTTTCTTTAGATTTCAAAATAGATGCAAAAACGGGTCAAAGTTCAATCAATAACCCTGTACATGAAACTACCTTTTAGATGAGGGGACACTTGACATCCCTTTCTATTTAAGATTTTAGTGTTGAACACCTTCGTACTTTAGGGGTTGTAGATATGGCCCGTTTGATTCGCCACAAATGTGTCCCCCACAAAAATAAAATTTACATATCCGAGGGCTTTTGCGTAAATTTACTAGTTGCTCAAAACTGGGTCTGTTTCGTTTTCACATGTCCATCCTGTATGTATAATATGAAGCCACAGAAAATTGCACAATCATAGAAAATATACTTTACTTGGAATATTATTTAAATTTGTGCATATTAGTGTTCTCAATACCGGGACCTGCCAGAAGCCCTGATTTTAACCCAATGGTTATGTAAAAAACATCGTTTTTGAAAGACCCCATTAACAACAGGGCAGAAAATTTTATTCTTGTGAAATATTTTTTTCCATACGAGAACCATTTATTAAACTGGTCAGAAGAGATAATTTTGAACAGTTGTTATAAAATAATATTTTTCAAAGACTTCACTAAGATTACAAAGTAGTTTAAAGTGGTTCTTATGCAGGTACCTAAATTAATACTGTTCAATGTTTCTTAAGTTTCGTTTTATTGAAAATTTTAGCATAATATTTGCATAGATTCCAATATTTATAGATCCAATTTGATTATGTTAAAAAATCAATATAGGTTCCAATGTAAAATATCTCGAAGAGGGTGAGGAATATCGACTTGAACCAAGTATACATTTTTCGTTTAGGAAATATCGGAAAATGAGATATTGAGAACAAAAAGCGATATTTTAAATAATACTGGGAATTGGTGTGGACTGGATAAAATAAGTGAATCGGTTTTTGTAACTAAGTGTGTAATTTTTAGGTCTTTTTTCAAGCCTTTTTTGGGTTCGATATTTTAAAACCTAAAAAATTGTGATGTTCTAAATGGCTTCAAACTATTGCAGCTTTCGCCCCCTAAAAACTACAAACTAGCTACTAGGCAATTTTTCCACAGCAAAAAAACCTTTAAGAATCAATTCAAAAACGAAATTTTATTACATTCAATTACATAATTTATTTACACTTTGACACCCTGTACCTCGGACACTATTAACTTTAACACGATCGGTCGAGATGCAACTGCTCCGTGCCCTTGTCCGGATACTTGGCCTTTTTTAAATTCTAGAATAAATGTTATACAGGGTTATTCACGCTATACGGCACGGAAGTTAGCGGCTAAACCGTTTGATTTTTAAAAAGTATTATTTTATGAATTGTCCGACGCCTACCGAGCGCATATTTTAAAAATATTTTTGTAATGTACAGGGTGTCCCAAAGGCTCTAAATGTATCAAAGTTGCGTTTTTTTAAATGGAATGTCCTGTATATTATTGCATTTTTGGATTCGCTGATCAAAATAAGTGTCTGTTTTAATAAGGATTATAATACCTAAATCTTAAGGTTTTTTAAATAATACGAATTTAATCAAAGGCTGATCTAATTTTCACGTGTCAAATACTCTAGAAGTATTTAAGTTATGTAAGCGTAATTTATGGTGAAGTGCAACAAGATATAATATTTTATATCCCAATGATAATAAACTTACCATGTTATACAGGGTGTCCACAAATTTAAACTAGTCAAATAAGAAATTTAAGTGGCTCTAACTTGATTAATTTAAATACAACCCCATATTTTTTAACTTACCAGGAAATGAAATTTTTAATTACCTATCGAATGGTATTAG